GAAAAGTCGATCCATCCAATCGGCACTCGCCATCAAGGCTGGTTGATGTTTGGCTTCTGGCACATCAGTGCAATTATTTAATACTGTTTGGGAGGAACTAACTGATGCAATCAGTGAAATTAGAGGTGTAATATTTGAAAATAAGAGATAAAATTATCAATATTTGAAGATACAATTCAATCCCTAGAACTAAGGAGCTGAAAATATAACAAATAAGAAGTTTAGTAAGCTAAATATATGTCAACAATCTTTATATATATGTCAAGCTAACAGTCGGTATTGTTAGAAGCAGCCCCCAATCGTCATGATCTCAGGGTTCGTGGGTTTGAACCCCACACAAGGGCTCCTCCTTGTGCTGACACAGTGTGGAGCCTACTTGAGATTCTCTCTTTCCTTCCTTTTGCCCCCCCCACTCACTTCTTTCCTCTCTCAAAAATAAATAAACTTAAAAAAAAAAGAAGCAGCTCCCCAAAAATAAAATGCTCAGGAATAAGCTAGATCTATAAAGAGAAAACTTCTAAAATGATTCTCAAGAAATGTAATAAAAGATTTAATTGGGAAGGAACCCATGGTCTTCAATTAGGAAGACCTAAACATGTTAAAATGTTAGCCTGATCCAGATGAAATGTAACATGATTGAAATAAATACCAGTAAGATTTGGTTTTTAAGGGGAGGAAAACTAGACAATGTTCCATATGGAAAACCAAACAAGCAAAATTACCAAGAAAATCTGCAAAAGAAGGAGAGGGAGAGGCCTGCCAAATGTTAACATTTATTATTATAAAAGCCTCACTCAGCTTACTATGTTCTAACACTTCAATTAATAAAAAGAGATGGGAACGGAACAGAAAGTCCAGAAAAGTCCCAACCAACACAGGAGTTCACTGGGAGGAAGGTGAACTTTCTAATGAATGGTTGTGGGACAATTTGAGTATGATTTTATGTACTCAAAATGATGACCAATGGGTACAAACTGATTGAAAATTGAAAATGAAAAACTTAAAAGTAGCAGAAAAAGTCATGGTTGGAAAAATGCATTTATATATGTTCTATTGTGGAGAATACTTTTTGAAGTAACACACTAAATTAAAAGTGAGATAGAAAGAAAAGAAACTATTGAGTATACAAAAATAAGAAATATTTTTCCTAAGAAGAAACACTAGCTACTGTGAAAAGAAATACAAAGAAATGAAAAAATTCACTTTCAAGCTACACAATAGATAAATATAATATCCCCACATGTAAATGATTCCGTAAATCACTAAGAAAACAGAAAAAAAAATGAGAAAAGAAATATAATATTTTTAAGGCTGATGTTCAACTTTTTTTTTTTCACAAGGGAAATGAAACTTACACATACAGTGAAAAACAAGCTACGGTAAAATCCCAGATTGGTGTTTTGCTAATGGTATGCAGAAACAAGTAATTTTTTTTTTTTAAGTTTATTTATTTATTTTGAGAGAGACAGAGACAGCATGGAAAGCAGGGAAGGGCAGAGGAGAGGAGAGAGAATCCCAAGAGGTCTGCTACGCAGCTCCTGGATTCAGGGATTGAACTCACCAACGGTGAGATCATGACGGAGCTGAGGTCAAGAGTCCTGTCAACAAATGACTGAGCCACCAGGAGCCCCTCTTTTAATGTTTATTGTTTTTG